TCACCAAATGGCTTATTCGGAGCATCTTCACACACACTTTTTACCCTCCCGAATCTCGTCGGATTTCAGGTTTTTAATATACGCCTCATCCTCTCGCTAAATGTGAGTAATGCGGGCTGTTTTGTGTGTTGCCCATCACCATGACTACGATTATTCCACTAGCCAATTAAACGAGTTCCAGCGATTAGGGCGTTCGTGTAAATGGCTTCTCGTGCGATATGTATGACCCATGTGACAAATATTTGACTGCTTGAAGTTAACTAAGTGTGTTGCATATGAAGGTCACACCTCGATTTCCACATGTCGTTACCATTTCGAAAAATCAATTGACAATAATTGGATTTCGATCGTCTAAACTTATAACTATGGTAAAACACACCTAATTATTGGCCTACTTGGCACACATTTTGTTGGATTTAGTTAAAGGCGTGTTTAAATTTCCCCCAAAAGGTAATTCTATTAAATTTTAACTTATTCTGACAAGCCAAATGAAAATAATGATTTGCTGAAAGTTATGCTAGGAAGCTAGTGGCGCATTTTGTACAAACGTGACTGTGTGTATGTGTCCGTAGTGTTTAAGTAACAAAACACATCAATAATCGGACTTTTATGAGGAATTTGACAGCTAAAGTCCACGCTCGGCAGATGGAATGTGCATAATGTGTGTGTTCTATTGCACCGGCTTCTACAGTCTTGTTGTGGTTTAACTGGGTCGCCGCGTCATTTAAGAGCGTCACCAGCGGTTTGCGGACGAACATCTGTGGACGTGGATGCCTCAAGCGTGACTGCGGGCGTCACGCATCCACCATCACATGGAACTCCAGCTATTAACATCACCACCACCGCCAACAACACGACCAGCACTCCGCTAAAGTCCTCTCTGAAGAATGTGCGTGTGCAAGAAGTGGATCTGAGATCCAAGTCGGAAGACAGTCGTGCGGATCTAGACCACAACGTGTAAGGGGTTCCCGAGTATTTAAAACGCCTCTAAAATGATGGTTTCTCTTCGGCGTTAAGCTTCACCAAATGCCGCCTACTTGTACACTGAAGCCTGTCTTCCCCAATTTAATGAGATCTTAACTACATTAAAGCGATGTTGTTACCAAGATAGCTGATGTTTTGTGGAGTCTAGATGGTCTCGACCAATTGGCAGTCAGAAAATTGCTAAAACGTGTGCGAATACCTGATCAGTAGAGTGATTTCATGCAGTTAACTGCGGAATGTTTGTAGTTAGCGGTCAAGATCCGAGTGAACGAGGGTGATTTTGCATGCCTTTGTACCTGAACTTTCCTACACTTAGAGCACAGAAAAAGACGTCCAAGGTTACAGTGAAGCCTCAGGTGTTAGGTCCACCGAAATCTCCCGAAAACAGTGATTGGGATAGCAGTGATGATGATGATGATGATGGTGATGATGATGACTTTAAACTGCCGTAAGTTGTGCGTACAAATGTTGCCGCCTTCTTGTTTGCACTTGCCTGTCGCTTGTTGTATCATTGTGTGCGTGTGTTGTCGTTGCTATCCTCTAGTTGCTTATTTCTCAAACGTGGTTTAACCACTTATCCTTGCAGAAACTTAAATTCGATTTTGGTTTAGAAGTGCTGGAACTAATTAGGCACATGTGATGAAAGCGTTCGGCAGCTTACGTGATCAGAGTTTGAAATCTCAATAATTTGACCAATCGGATTTGTTGCAGCACATCTTTATTGATTTAGGAGTCTGAAATCCCAAGCACCGAGCCGTCAAGTGTTTCAGCGACCACTTGACGAGGAGATGGAGGAGGAAGAAGACATCGACGACATATTAGGTGGCCTGTCGCCAGGTCATTCGGTTAAGTTTCGTGATAGAAACCCTACCGAAAACTTCAACAACAACGCCACTGAAGGTAAATAAAGCACCCTCTGTGACTTTTTACAGTACGGCGTAAAATTCATTTGAAATTCGCTAATATTTAAAATTGTTTTAATCAGTGTTAATTAAAAAAATGTTCATCAGTAAATTATCCTGTTGGCAAGGAAATTGCAACTTCGCATGGCTTAATTCTCCTATTTCAATGTTTCATTAGTTATGTGGAAAAATGTCTCTTCAATCCAAACATAATCTATCCCCTTAAATTAACAATATTCCTTGGAAAGACCTTGTACCTTGTTTTGTTTAAATCGTTAAACCTTTTTTTTTAAATTGCGCCTTTTGGGTTGCTATGTGTCCTCGAAATAAACTCAAGGTGATATAATTATTGAAGCGCCAAATGCTTCACGTCTCGTTGTTATGACGAACTATAGCCTCGATGCAGGAATTAAGGCTTAAGATCTGTCATTAATGCTGTAGATTGCAAATAGTAAGATCTGTCACCTTATTCCCCGTAACACTTTATTTTACTATTCTGACTTCAGTTAGAACACTTCATTAATCCCCCAGCAAGATAACACGTGAAATTATCTACGTTCCGAATCTTCTTTAATCTTCTTCCTATCCTGTGTGCCTGTCTCTTGGGGTTTAAGCCGTTACTGTTATTTGCAAAGTTATTTGCTGTTTATCTCTCTAACTGCCATGGAGGTTACTCTACTGTCGTAATTCTCGCCGATGAAATATCATGATGTTCTTTGTCCTCATTTTGAAGCCAAGGGCGCTGACAAAAACGACGACGTCGACGACGTGAGCGTGTCCTCTCTCCTAGACGACGAAATCTCGAAAAGTCGCGTCAGCCCGATTCGGCCGAAGACGAGTCGTGGTGGACGCACACCCCTGGCGCCGGGAAGTGGAAGCTTCCGCAGCAGTGGCACTATTGTCTCCCCTCTGTGTCCGGGCGCTAGCTACACAATTAGCACCAGCCAATGGGACACGACGGCCTCTCAAGGTAGGCTCTGATTTGTTCGTTCGCGGAGTAATTGCTTCTTATTGGTCTGGTGATGAAACATTGATTTCGAGCTGTGCTTAATATCCGTGTTATCGTGGGGTTGAATTGCCACACGGGCCACACTTTACACGTGTACGTGTTTGGAGGAACGCTTGAAGTCATTTTATTGGCTAGTAGGAAGATGGTTGTCATGGTAATCGGGACAAATAATGAGATGACGAGATTTGAAGCACTGATTCGGATAAAGGTACTAGTTATTATTGTTTTCTACTGAAGCGAAGACGGTCTTAAACCGGAAGACCCAATTGAGTTCCCAATGATTGTGAATTTACGGTAATTTAAACTGCTCCGAGCAAACCTTATAATGATTGGCAACACATTTGATAAAACGTAATTAATTTTTCACTACAAAACGGTACAGCATCCGAGTGCACACAGAAGATGTATGGGTTTCTGTACCAGCCTTGAGTTGACAGAATAAGTTAAAATTTAATGAAATTGCCTTTTTGGGAAATTTGAACATGCCTTTAATTAAATCCAACAAAATGTGTGCCAAGTAGGCCAATAATTAGGTGTGTTTTACCATAGTTATAAGTTTAGACGATCGAAATCCAATTATTGTCAATTGATTTTTCGAAATGGTAACGACATGTGGAAATCGAGGTGTGACCTTCATATGCAACACACTTAGTTAACTTCAAGCAGTCAAATATTTGTCACATGGGTCATACATATCGCACGAGAAGCCATTTACACGAACGCCCTAATCGCTGGAACTCGTTTTATTGGCTAGTGGAATAATCGTTGTCATGGTGATGGGCAGCATACAAAACAGCCGCATTACTCATATTTAGCGAGAGGATGAGGCGGATATTAAAAACCTGAAATCCGACGAGATTCGGGAGGGTAAAAAGTGTGTGTGAAGATGCTCCGAATAAGCCATTTGGTGATTAGCGACAGATTTGATCTAAAGCTGGTCACTGTTCAGCACTGACTGATATAACACACCAGGGTGCCCTCGGAATATGCGGGGGTTTCTCTGCCAACCTTGAGTGGACACTATGTCCAGCAGGCAGCTAGATGCTGTGTGGAACGAGTTACATCTCTTCAACAAGCTGTCGTTGTGAGTGAGAAGTGGACTGTCCTGTGTAATCCTCCAGTTTATAGCCGCCTGATTCATTGCCATAAACTAACCAAAGAGGTGAACTTTAAACCGACAGCATCCGTTTTTGTCATTGGGGCGTGAATTTCACCTGTGTTGTCGTTTGTGGTACTTTGAATTGCGAATGACCGCAAAGGTTCCGTACGCGAATTAGACATCGCTTTGGAAGTGTTCGATTCCGCTTAGTCGAAATGATGTCATTGCCAAGTAGTGAAACCTATCCTGATACTTTTGATGGGGATGAAGACAAGTCTACAACGAATCACTGTCAACAACAGCAATTGCGACGACATGGATTAAACACAGTCACATAGACAAAATGAGGCATATCAGACAGGAGGGACAAGTTTGTGTGTGTTTAGTAAAATTTACTTGTGAACTGGAGCAGTTACGTCGCTATCCACCTCCTCTTCCTCAGACTCTTCGAATAATGACTGTGTCGAATGCGCCTCGTTGGGTCTGCGCATGGCGGGGCTCACCATGGCGAGGCGCGGTCTCTCCGCGATCGGCGAGAGGGTCGGGGTGATGGAGGTGAGGGAGGCGGGACGTCCGCTTGTCGGTCGCGCTGATATCGATCTCTCCGACGACCGAGATGCTCGAGGCTTCTTGAAGGAGGAGGAGGCTGCACCATCACCGTCGCCACTTAGAGGTTCCCGGCGCTCGCGTTTTGAATGCAACGCCACCAGAGCCATGCGGTCCACCTGTCGAGATAATGACTGAAGTGGAAAAGAAAACGAAACCGCTATTCGATCATGTTCGATCGCAGAAACGCCCGATCACGGTCTTTTCGTGCGAAAAGTTGGCCATCGTCGACTTACAGCACGTATCTCCGCGAACGTAGGGTGCTTACGCTCCAGCTGCTGCCTTTCCTGACCAAGAGTATCAATTGTCCCGTTGAACTTGCCACGTGGAAGCCCTCTGGCATCCGCCTGAATGTCATGGTCAATCAGCTGCTCCATCAGCAACGCCTCCACCTCCTTTCGTAGACGTTTCAATGCGTTCGGGTCTTGGCGGAGTTGCTCTAACTGCTCCTTGTAGGGTCTTACACCTTCCGTGGGATCAATTCTCAGTTCAATGTCTTAAATTAATGAAGCAAATGCAAGAAATCAAGCTCTGATAACCAGGACAACTTGCATAATTGCTTAAGACATCCTACTCACTAAAGTCTTTTGATTTAACATCGCCCTTGTCGTGTTTCCCGGTTCTTAGAGGTTTCTCCAACTTTTGTTCGGTTGATTCCACAGGACAGGTGTTATCTTCGACGATGTGCACAATTTTCGTTGTCCCGTGTGCAGTTTCACTGTCTTGCCGATGTTTGAATCTCTTGGGTGAAGCCTATTTAGTTAATGCACTCAGAAACTCATGACATTTACGTTATGTTAGATAAACTGTGGTCTGAGAGACACCGGAACGACAAAACGCAACATTCCCACCACTGCGAAAGCGCTTGGGTGGAGAAAACACGCAGGCAACGGTTGTCATGGCAACCAACGCGAAAACTACATCTACCGAAGGAAGTGGAGCCCGCGGCGTGGAAATGGCACAGGGTAGCTGATGAATGCACCTCACTCTCTCCACCTCGTCCTCCGTCCTGATGACTACACCCTCCACAACAACCTCCTTGGCCTTGCGTGGAGCCTGTTGCTGGAGTCTGGTGGAAGTGTCTTTGGATAGCCTCAGGTTCGCATCATCCAGAGTCACCTGAACTGAGGTGCTTGTGCGTGTTGGAAGCAACCTGTGTTCGTCTAGGCTCCTGTCGGTCTGTTGTCGCCTGGAATGCCGTCTGGGCGCGGTCGGTGAGGTGGCAGTCGACGCCAAATATACGGCACACGTTTGCTGCGGGCCAACTACGACGTCGTTGAAGCTCGATGTCGTGGTAACTGTCGGCCAGCTGTAGCTAACTAGCTGGTCGGTTTTGTTGGCATTGTTCACCATCTCGACTACTGGAAACGCTGAGCTCGAAGACGCCCGACTTGCTTTTTCAGGGGAGTTTAGGACGCGTTTTGGTGACCCAGAAGCCTTCCGTTTGGGTTCAACATACGATTTCTTTTAAAGATCACGAATGAGACTACTTTAAAAGAACTTTTGCATCGGATTACTTTGCATAAACCTCATCAGGTAAAGTGGTACCATTTAGCGTCTAGTACCCACCCAAATCAGGTCACCATGGTAACAAAACAACGAGAGGATAAGTCAAACTAAGCTTAAAAACTATACTAATTGTTTTATTTATGGTTTTTCCAGAGTATATTTTAGTGCGTCTGGTTTAATTTCACATATTTGGTTAAAACAGATGCCATCAAACTGAACATGGACGTCTTTTGTAATTATTTGTGGACATATTTGTCGAAGAAGACAATAGACCTACCTCCAGACTCCTCACTTGGCGCTCCAACTAAAAAATATGGGTGAAAGTGTTTTGAATCTACTTGCGTGAAAAATTTGCTAAAATGGCAGAAAACAAACCTGCGCTGGAACGTCATCCTCCAAGTCACCGAAGGTAGATACGTTGGCTAAATTGTGCATAAAACGCAGTGAAGATGCTTGAAGCGAAAAGTCTACTGGCATTTAGTCACATTTTGAACATCAATACCTCCTTTCAGACGAAGCTGAATGAGTTCTTTCTGGGTTTGAAGATTCTCTTCTCTCAGATTACGCAGTTCCACCTCGAACATCTCCCGAACATGCTCAACATCCGCCTAAAGGAGTAAAAAAGACCGGTTCATTTATCCTTATTCATCGGTAAAAGCTGACAATACGGTTTACACCCCCCCCTGTAACAGTTTTACCATTAAAAAAGGTCATATGGGCAAATGATCTTGCCTAATAACATGCTTAGTCTGAATAAGCATCAATCGAGTGCTTGGCAGAAATAATAACTTGAATAAGGTTCCTCAGTCGACTTTAGAACTTAAAAATACAAGCATAACAACCAAGGTACAAACAAATCTCGTTTATTAGAGACATCGGTCGCTTCACACACCCGGTGCTGTTCAGCAACAGACGTCTGCCAAGCCCGGTTTCGTTCTTCCAACTCGCGCATTCTTTCACGCTCCTCCTGAAGTTGCCGTTCCAGTTCCGCAGTTCGCTTCTTCCAGGTTGCTGTGGGAGAGGGAGCAGGAGGAAGTGTAGGAGGGTGGTAATCACCTGACCCCTCGTTCACCTCAACCGTTTGAACAATGGCCGAAGCCAACTGGGTTGGCGGTAGTGAAGGCGGCTGGGTCTTTATGTGGCCCAGAACTTCCTGAATCTGGTGCTCCAAATTGGACGTCTACAAATACAAACCGCAAAATAGACGTAACCTACTCGCACATATATACTACGTTAGCTACTACAAATTCCCGCTTATAACACACCAAACCGGAGGACTTGTCGATGGCAGGCTTTTCCTTTTGAAGGTTCCCTCCTTTATCAGAGCGATCAATGTGGTCTTGGTTGAGGTCAATGGCTTGGAGGGCCGTGACGACCTCCACATGCCTGCGATAGAGGTGGGCGTTGAGAAATGAAGCGTTGATGAAGGCCTTGGGGCAATGCGGACATTGGTGGTATGATTGTGGACCAGAGTCCATCAGTTGTTGTTGCGCAAGAAGAAGCAGACGGCGACGGTGACACTCTTTTCGAGTGACAGTTAGACGTTGGGCCTGTTGGTCAAGACGGCGTTTTAACGCATCTGTCTCCTGTTGGGAAAATTTCGAGAGGATGTGTGTATTGAAGGTTGCAAGTACTTCCAATAAGCAAATCGAAACAATTTAACAAATCTAACTAGATAGTTTATGTAAGTTTAATTATTCTGAGAACTATAAATTTAAATCTTGAGTTTTCTGGTCGAGAAACGACAAAGAAATCAAAATAATTTCGAAACTAGGCAAATTGTTAAAATTTCAAAATTTTCAAAGCCAGTGTTTAGCTTTATTATACATTTAAAGCTGAGATTAAATCGAGTCTTATAAACATTCAAGGATCTAATTTGTTCATGGAAACAATGAATTTATTTGATTACACAAAAGTGCACCAGTTAGACGTATTTGCACTAACCTTTTTGATCGTTTCGTTTTCTAGTTTCAAAGCATCTACGGTGTTTGTAAGGAAGTCTTGGGAATACTAAAAAATATTACACAAGTTCAAGCATTTCAAGGCCCATTTTAAAAGACAACGTGTTTGTGCTTACTAGAAGATATTCAATTAGAAGTTGCGCCAACTGAAAAAGTTTAATAAAATTTGTGTCCACGTAACGCGTATCCTGTGGATGTGGTAATATTTAGGATATTTAACTTACAATCTCAGAATTTATATCACAAAAGGCAACACTGACAAGATTATCCTGTAATGCGTCGATGTCCATCTGACTGGCAACACGACATACGTCAACGGATGCTAAAAATATAAGCAGACAATTTTCCTACCTAAACGTTTCCAGTCGATCCTCTCCACGCGTTTTCTAAAATAGAATCCAGGCATTTTGTTTTTATGCGTAAATTGCACTTGACTAGGTAAGGCCTCATTAAAGGCGGCCATTTTCTGTCAATTTCTACAACAGAAAACATTTTGAATGGCAATGCAATGTTGCATTATGATGCAGTACTTTATTCCAAAATTAAGGTTCTATGACACTCATAAACCTAAAGTCATTAAAATCACCATTAAAATTTGTTTAAAAATATAAAACATGTACGTGATACCATCGCGCGCTGAACTATGCCCATGGTGATTCTTGAAAAATATACGTAGGTTTGCCCAATTATACTACGGATGTATAAGGTTTTTCAGCAACAACAAAAGTACAACAGATTAATACACTTACTATATAACTAGAATTGACAGTCGGTGATAAACGAAACATAAAACACATTAGTGTGGCAAAGGAATTCCGTGACAAGAGCGCATCTATTGAATAAATAGTAGGTATATAGGGCTTTGCTTTACGTGCGAACATACCACTTAATGGAAAATAATGCAAAAAGTACGAAAAATTGCACCTACGAAAAAAGTAATAAAAATGCCCAACAGGCCTTCAATTGAATTACGCGGCGAATGCTTAAGCGTCTAATTTGTGTACAAAGGACATCAAAGACTAGATTAAAATACATTTTTTTAACTTAATCTAAATGCTATACTAAGTCATAATCGATAAATCCTAAATACTAATGGATTGCACAGTGTTGGTCTCAAACCTATATTTAAAATGCCTTCGTGCATGGGAGTAGTTTTAAAATCTGATCTAAATTCACGAAAGGTCTATTTTTTGCAAACCAATTTCTTGCAGTAAAACCATGATTAGGCACAGTAACGTTGCAAACTATGTTTTTTGCAGATGACTAAATTTTACGATCATAGTGCAACACACCACACTCGTAGGCGATAAAATCGTTCTGGAGGTTCATAAGAAACTGGAGAAGTAGTTCGTTAATTCAAACGTATGCGACTGATCAAGACAGCGTTGTTTACCTACAAATTTTCTTCATTTTGCTTGCTTGACTGACTAATTTCTTAGCGTTTACTCAAACTTCCATAACCGCATAGTCAAACCATCTGTGCTTATGCTTTGTTCTAGAAGTTTATGTCTGTCATTTATTAAATTTATCAACATTGAAACTTTTATGGCCACCTAACGTTGCTAATGTTCAGTCACTGTGGCCAAATATATAAATGTACTAACAAATATAACTTATCCTCATGTGGCAAAGAATCCTAAATTTGTGAAGATAAGCTAAAATCTCTATTAATTAGAAATTTCCATCACTTATTCGAAATTATAAATCTTTTGGAACCAAAATGTTACAGTGAAATTTAAACACAGCAAAGATGTAAGACTGCAAACCACGGTCAAAAAAAGGACATTATTCATATCACCAAAAGTAAAATGCAAGGGGATGCATTGCTTATCTGAAAGTGACCGATATTGTTCGTGAAAATTTATAAAAACTCTACGAAATATTTTCAGCGACGCATACAAAGCCAAATCGTTTGCTACAGAGAATTTATATATTTAACATTTTAATTCAGATTAATGTCCACAATTTACGTTCTTAAATGGATAGTTCCATTTTTTTATAAACGTTTTTAAGGTAAGATAAATCCATCGATTTTGCAGAATGAAACCAAAAACCGCTTTAGTGAACAGTAATCTAAACAGCACCCAGATATTTGCAACATAATATTAATCGTTATAGCGAATCATATGTTGGCTGGTAAATTCTTCGTGGGTTCAAGCTGCGCATGAAAATTTGTTATGTCGCCATTAGAAGAACCTGCCGTTCCGTGCCCTGTAGAATAATGCCAACGGGCAAGTAACAGAAAGTATTCCAAAATGCAAATCAACGAAGTTATTATATTTAAAAGTCATGTTTGATCTAAATTTTAAAAATTCCAGCCCACAAATCTTCATTCGTCGGTAAAAGTTAGTTAAATCCTCAAGAAAAAAACGTTATTTTTAACAGTTCTTTCATTATGATGCAACGAATATTCCTATGTCGCTTATTTTAATGTTTGAAAGTTTCACATGTCAATTCGTTGCTGAATCTTTAGCGCCATAGAATTGACATTTTATTAACATTTGTAAAGATCGCAAGAGTTTGATATCATTTACCACACTTTATTCCGGGGCTTTTTATCCATCGATAAGCCAATTTCTAAATTCATTATCTTTTTTTAAAGAATGGGTTTTGGATATGCTTTATAATTATGCCATTTAAACTAAAATTGTGGCATGTTTTGTGTAACGATTAAAAAATAAAATTTAAATGATTAATTTAAATAGAGATTTTTTGCCCAATTAATGTCCTTTGATATGCACGGACGTCATTAAATAAATAGAATCAAACGAGCACAATTGACTTCTCAAATGTATGCTGTGGTAGGTGAATTTTTCACACAAGCAAGTAGTGGTTTGCAAAAATGCCAAAATGCTTTTGCCTCAGAAAGATTTGATTTATTTCTCTTGATATTATAAGATAATGTAAAAATCTGCAGTGCATTAACCTACCGTTATAACACCTGCATTAAAAGTGCTTTTTAGGTAACATGGCGTGTTGCGCTTCCCGGGGTACAAATATTGTCAGATTAAATGACGACTGAATGAGGAACAAACGCATGGTTAGTAATTCATAAGACATTTTTGAATAGCACTAATTAAAGGCAATGGGCTTTTTCCGTGTAAATACATGCATGCTGCAATTAATTGATGAGAGAAAACAGTTATTCAATTTGTCTTCCCAATGGATAAAATTGATGTCTTTTCGTAAAAGCACGTTTCATTGAATCTTTAAATTTACAATTTAAAACCTTTTGACTACATGCTTAGATTTGTATTTTGGATGATTATAAAACATTTGAAATGATTGATTTTTCATCTAAAATGTTTATTTGGACAGGGTTTCAGGCGTCAGGATTAAAATGCTTCGTCGCCTGCATCGTCGTTATTGTGGTTCGGTTCTAAAATGTGTTCTTCGCAGCAATTTTACCTCAGATCCCATGACCGATCCAAAGGGGAAGATGTATTATGTGATCCCCGAAATTCCAACTGATACGCCTTTGACTAATCCGTTGTTAAGATATTCTCCACTGCCCAGGTTTATTTTTTTTTGTGCTTATTATCAGTCATGACACTATTAAGGTTGAACAGATCTTCACTGGGGTGTCAAAGCAAATTATTGAGTTTCAGGTAGCTCTTTCTCAGCTCGTCGAAGGCATCAAGTCTAAAAGCTTCCCTATTACCTACGAAAACATTGTGACGAAATTAGATGAAATAGTTTTTCCTGTCTACCATTCTCTACAGCTTGTCGAGGGCCTTGGATTTACCAACAGTGACCCTGCTTGGCGCTTAGTTATCGGTCGTTTGCTTTCGAAATTTTTGCGTGCTCAGTGTGAACACTTGTATTCTTGTGCTGAAATTTACCGGGCCCTGCATACAGTTCTTGTTCAACTTGATCCGAACGACAAAGAAAAACGGGGTAATGTAGTGCCGTTTTGACCCTTAATTCTCTTTTTTTATGTTGATGCCAGCTGCTTGGCTACGTAAAATTACCTTTGGAGGTTTTAGCTAATTTTTTTGATTTGACAGTGTCTTACGTTCGATGAATCAGTATTTTTGTTGCACGGGCTGGTTAAATAAGCACAGCCTTTAGAATTATTTCGAAACTATAATTTGCCCATGCAGTTATTAAAGTCAGTTGCTTCCACATATGGCCGTCTATGGTAGTAATTGATCGGTGTGGGCTGTGGTTTTCGTTTTGTTTACATATGCTTTTTTTCTTATGTAGGGCTAATTGAACAGCTGCTTGCTGAGGGCTGGTCAAATGGGGCGTCACTTTCTGCTGCAGCTTCTGGTAAAGTTGATCCCTGTCAGTCCTGTGCCAATCCACACTTCCCAGTTTCAGTTAAAGGCAGCGAATGTCAAAAATCCCTTAACCAACTCAGCTATCTGCGCTCTGAGCTGTTGAAAGTAGAAAGCTTGTTTGAACAGATGGTTACCAACAGTGCCTACGTGAGCTCCCCCGAAGCAATCAGTCAATCTCAATTTACAGGCCGTTATGAAAGTGCCAGTCAAATCATGCCAAAGTTGCCTAGTTATCTCACTAATGTTCTAAATCCTGAAGCCTCTGGACAAATTCCCGTTGCGGAATCGGATTTATCTGCCTCAGCTCCACTCTGGCTGCCTTATGCCCTTGGCGGAAAGCAAGAAGGTGGATATTTCAAGGGAATGCGTGTTAATTTGAGCCTCGACACAAGCGCTCAACTGTTTCTGCGCCACTGCAGCAACAGAGAGGTGACTTTTATCCCTTATTATTGAAATGAATGCATGAACAAAGCCACTGTAAATTGCGCTAATTTGTTACCGAAATGGCCATCAACAGATTTACGGATGGCATAGGCATTATTCTGAAATCAAGGCATTGCTGTTCATCTGTACTCATAGCAAAGAATAGGTTATTACAAGGTTTGTCATCCCCGATTCTCCTTGCTTAGTTAATTATGTAAAGCGGACCCTAGTAACCACAACGCTATTTCTTTGAATATAAATAAAATAGAACTTGGGATTTCAGGATGCTGTAGGTCGCACGATAGGATTTCCTTTGTTACCTACTTTCCAATCACCCGTAATCACGACTTACATAATAGTAGCGTTCACTTGTATGCGAAGTAGCATTCAGTCAGGTGGTCACCGCTGCTGATGGCATCTTGGAAGCCTTCAGTGATCACTTTTTCGTCCCATAGCTTCGTCGGATAGTCTGGGAGGCACTTGTTCGTCGAGCCAGTCTGCGCTCCTTCGGTGGCTCAACGGGTCAGCACGCGTCGAACGACCACCGCATAGAGGATCTGCGTCGACTTCGCTCCCAAGTGGCCTCAGCAATGGGCGCTCCCGACTGGCTCTCCCTTGTGTGGAAGCGCACAGCTCCTGGTGGACGTGGACCCGAAACTCCCGACTCCCTTGTCGACCAGGTGCTCGAGCCAATTCGCACGAAGCTCGTCCCTCTTGGGCGGCTGGAGTGGGACACTCTCAATGAATGGGCAGAACCCCACCTGCGAATATCTCGTGAGTCTGTCTGTTTCTCCACAATCACAGCACCATTCTTGAACCTTAGTATTGCGTTTGTTTTGATACATACCATTTTGTTCTGTTTTCTATGGCCGGCTTGGCTTTTGTAGCCTCTCAAACGGATCTTTATCTTCACTCCCGCGTAAAGAAATAGCATCAACAAACCATGGGCCTAAATTTGCCTTTCTAGCTAGCCTGGAACACTATGACATCGCCTATGCAATAGAACAGTACAACTTCACTACTTCCCTGGCACCCGGGTCGACCCTGTCCAAGGATCCCCGTTACGAGCGCGTATTTCCCTTCCAAGCCACCGTCGATAGAATACTCGCCAGTGTCGGTGACCTCTTTGGCCTGTCGGTCTCACGTCTGCCCACGGGTGAGGGTCACGCGGCCGCACTGAACATCGCCGATAGCTTCGTCTACGAGGTGGTCGACACGGTCGAAGGTGTTAAGCTTGGAGAGGTTCTGGTGGACCTCAATCCCAAGTATGTTCCTTCTACCATATTTTCGCGCTTTTGGTCACAATCGATGCAATTACGATGCGGATGTATCTCCAGCTGGTGTGGCTGATTCTGGGGTTTGAATTCTCAAGGATACTTCCCTTGATTATGACGCCTTGTTTACGTATCGAGCTCACACGACCACCGCGAAGATGTCCGTCTTTGCGTGAAATATTGAACTGGTTGCCTGATTTTTTTGTTTCTGCTCCTTGCAGGGAACATTTCGGCGCCGCGTCCTTCAACAACGTGACCCCAGTGCCTCTGGTGACGCGTTTTCCTGTGCCCTCCAAGTCACCTTCGTCGATCTGCACGGACACTTCGATTGCCTGTCTCTATGGCAACCTATCCGCTGACGCGATTCGCGTGGGACTCTCGGAAATGGTATGTCCTTTTTGTGAATCGTGTTTATTCACACCTCTTAATCCGGTCGCTCCAACCTTCGACACAGGGTTCCCCTTTTCGCAGCATGTCGTCAGCCGCGCGAATCCTCAACTCCCCCCTCATTCGCACGAATATTTATCTTGCATTATCCTCACGCCTAGGTCTCGATGTTCGCGCATGTATGACTCGCACATCCGAGGTATAAATTCACACGCGCAAACCACACACACGATGACGGTTGACTCTCTGTCCTTCCCACAGACTTCAACCTTGTTGGGTAGTTAGTGGTATATGGCGTCGCGACGTCCTCTTTTACCACCATTTCTACATGCCAGAATGGGGGCATGAACACTGATTACTTATCCACCTTTATAATTGCAATCTCGCCCACTTACAGGAGGCCCTTGATGTTGCCGCCGCATTCGGCAATTGCATTCAGCACGTCGCTAGTCGTGCGCCGTCGTACCTCTTCACGGGTCTGTCGACGCCGATGCCTGGGATGAGTTTTGCCGGCTCAACCAGTGGCCACCCAGTGCGGGATAACTTCCATCTCACTCAGGACCTCATTAAACTCCTGCTTATCCGATCGCGTGAAATGCGACGCGCTGTTTTTGGCAACGATATAGCAGGCATAACGGACTGCCGCGCTGCCTCGAACCCAGTCCACGGTGAGTCGTCGGTAGCTGGTGCCTGAATCAAATGCTTGGGCCAACTTTTTGTGCAAAGTCCGATTCTCGTTTAGGCATATCCCGGATACGAGCCCTTCCCTTCCTGCGCACCCTCTATGAGTCGCGTTTCGATCTGGAGCTATGGGCGTCTGGACGCTCCAGCCGCAGGACTTGGCGTGCCTTATCGGAGTTTCTGTGGTCTCAGCACCTGCCCTACTCGCACCACCCCGAGGACCAGTGGCCCTGTTCCGCACTCAGCATCTTTGGACCTCGCGGCATACCTGGCATGCGCTACTCGGAGGTCTGGCGCCAGGTGATTGCTCTCGACTGCGTCTCCGCCTTCACTGAAGCTGGCTTCGACAAAGACTGGAACGGCAAGAAGGTCGAGAAAACCTTTCGCTTGTTTTTCTTCCCACCGACACTTTCCGCAGCCACAGATTTGTGCTGTCTGTTGTCATTGTCTATCTCAAACTTCCAATAACCCAAATTAGCATCAGGTTAAATGCCTTTTATTGCTCTGAGGTTCGTTTTAACTGTGTTCACTCCTTCTCCTGGGTTCTAGGTTAAGGAGCTCTTCAGAAGGTATCGCAAGTCGGTTCTCGATCCAGGCACCTCCCTCTCCTGTCGCAGCGTCTTCAGGTCTTTCAGGGGACGCGATCCCTCACCAAATGCTCTTCTCGACACCTTCGACACATCGCATATCACACTGCAGGCCTCTACTGTCAAACCCGTGGTCGATTCCACGGTTGAACCAACCGGCGCGACCAGATAGACGCGCTGGTGTTTTTACTACTCCACCCAACCAATTTTGTCAGTCCTGCGGAGGTGCATTTCGGGGAGGGCCACTTTTTATGCACCATCGCCACCACTTGCCTCTTTTCCTCTCTTTGTATTTTCTAGAATGAATAAACGAGATTAACCCACACCCATACTTACCGCTTTACTTGCTGTCACTTGTCTGTCGTTGTGTGTGTGTGTGTGTTGTGGCGTTGTAGACGCGTTTTCCAAATTCGCCTCATTTTACCTCGCGCATGCAGCTCCGCAACCGCGTAATTTACACACCTTTTGAGTGTTGGCGGGCTTAAAATCGCTGGATTTAAGAAAGCAAACCTCAACCACGAACTGCCAACACAAACCATTCTTGCTCTACTTGACACAGTGGCCAAGGAGTGATTTACGGCCGCGATCCGAGTAGCACGCAAGCATGCTCACTCTTCATCCTTGTGTAGTTTGGAAAGGAGATATTTAGAAGCTAAAAATAGTAGCCGTAACAGTCTCAGGCAATGATAATAAAGTCTTCTCTTAGTGCAGTTGGCTTGAATGGTACTTGGAGCGCATTGCGTAACTCCCTCACGCAACCTGTAGCCCTGTTTCCATTTTCAGTTGTGGTATGTTGGTGAGGTGTGCGCGAACCACATACTCACTCCACACCTCTGCAAGACTTGTCTTGCCAATGGCTGGAACTGTCTTTTCTACCTACACCGCGTCGAAACGTCACCCTACTATTTTCCCTCTTTAGATATAAGTAATGTCGGTTGTAAGATGCAAGATTGTTCTGATTTGTGTGGCTTGGGTTGATGCATATTCAGCCATGTTCTGTCATACTTGGCCTTCGTCACTTGAGGGTGACAGACCAAACTTATACTTGACCGTGTTTATTTTTATAAAAGTTAATATCCCAGGAAATATTTGAGGAATCGAAGGTTTGAGCTGTTTGAATTTGTTCTCGGTTACACAGACTGTGATCTTGCAACTCAGGCGAAATCAAGCATTATCACCAATATTGTCCGTCACCGCAGTCACAGGATGTTGGGTGATAAGTTAGGTGTCGCCGCTACGCTATATCACCCTGGTTGACCTCAAATCCGCCAATGAATTTTTACTTTAATGCAATTAGATCTCGCCTCTCGTCAAAGCTGAAGCCACGTCAGTCGGAAACAGTCATTGTGCCAGAGAGGTTGTAGCGAACCGTCTGAGGTTACATCGCTTGTTTGCCTTCCTTCCTTTGAAATATATCAAACGTCTCTTATGCGTTATTGATTATTCCTTACCTGGTACCCACCCAATAATACCGTTAAGTCGATTTTCCTTCTACTTTTCCAGAAGTTTCCTCTGCCTGACTAATGGTGCTGCCTTCGACGAGGTGTTTGGGCTTGGCGCTCGAGTGGTCCTGCCACGGGGTGCCCTGGTTTATCTTCTCTGGTGGTTGGATTATGGGTCTGCTTATCAGTAACATGGCCCCACCGCCCTCCTCGCGTCCCCTAGACCCCTACGTAGCCCCCTCCTTTACCAATTCACGCAACCTCTACGGTTGGAGGGCGGCCTGTCTCCTTTTCGCCCTCATCCTCGACGTGGTGGTTGTGGGTTGCATTAAATTCATTGTCAAACGACCACGCCCCGAGGCCAATTACTCCTCTGACATGTTGCTTACCGTGTCCATCGATGATTGGTCGTTTCCTTCTGGTAAGTCATTGACTGTTATTGGTTCAGAAGTAGAGCATTTGAATGTCTAAAATTGAACTGTTGTTTAAGCATCCCCGTATGATCGTAACAGATTTCTTGTCCTTTTTGCATCATCAGGCCACTCGAGTCGCGCGGGGATGCTCCAATGGCTGCTGCCCTGGCTGTTTGACCTCTCGGGCTTCTCTCGGCTCGTGCTCTCGGTGTGGGTGGCTTGTGTCTGCGTGTCGCGGCTTGCAATGCGGCGTCACCACCTCGGCGACATCCTCTTCGGCTACGCCCTTGGCTGCTGTCTTTACTGGCTAGTCACGCGGAGCATCAACTGGCCCCACTGGTTCCGGTTCCTAGGTTGAGTCGTCGACGCTTCGACACCGACCACCGTCTTCTTGTGCTTTCAACCCCGCCACCACTGACTTCTTGCGGTTTTGTCCACTTAACCCTCCTGTGCAAGATGTTCTGTGTTGGTAACCGTTCGAAGTGTTGTTGTGCCTTCTGATGGGCTTCTTTTTGGGGGTTTTAATGTTAACTCACTAATCGTTTGGGGTCAGGTTCGTATATGCACCAGTAGTACGTACTGTTTCAGTGCCTAAGCCTCCTGTTCTATGCGACACAGTTGTTATCAGACGGTCAAACAGTGGCTCATAGTACGGCGTTGTTGGTATTGAATGAAAGTTCATAGCGTGCAAGATCCGCATAAAGCCCACAATCTGCCACGGGTCGGAATTCTGTTCACAATTTCCGCACGAAACCTACCGAAGGTGTGGAAGGCGAGAGCTATTTCGTAAGTGAAACGAAAGCCTCGCCACTGGCATCTGTTGTGCCCACATTCTCGGGCGATACCAGAGCGAATGTGAACGCCTAAGGTAAACAATCTTTTATTTACCCACCGCCTCGTCCGCTTGCCACCCATCGCTCGAATATCGACTGTCAATGAAATGGACACCAAACAGATTGCTTACTGGAGCCGAGAAACTTTCATCTTGCACTGACGGTTACCTCGGCCTAAATTTCGTTATGGGCGGGTTTCAAAATTGTCGTGGTAATCTCGAAATGGAATAAGACAAGTGGAAACGTTCGCCTTGTAAGATCCAGCGGTAGTTGCGTGGGTGGGATCACTCTTCATCGTTCAATTCTACTTAAACAATAAAATATATGAAGAAGGGAGTTCTGTCCTTTTCTGAAGTAAGTAATTGATGCTAAATCAGATCATCTGAGGGTTGCAGAATCGCATCTCCTTTGGTGATGGAAAACGGATTTGAAAATCTAAAAACGCCTAACCCATTAATGAAGGCGTTTGAAATTGCAGCCAGTGCCCATTCAGCTGCCTCAGCGCTATTGAACTACCTTTTGATTGCTAGTTTAGACCAATTTCAGTTAAATTGCCCTTTTCCGACACAATGACTTCGAACGCGCAGAACCCACCTTTGTCGACATATTCTTTTCTTTTAAAATTGAAAAATGACCCCATAAGATGCCTCGGAAATAAAAGAGAGCATTTATTACAAAAGATTTACATAGGTAAATTCCGGTCATTTTGTCAAATTGAGAAATGCAGTGTCTCCGATCGTGCAAGACTCATAGAAAACCATCAGCAAACAGTTTTTCGGTGGTTTGCTCTACAACGACGTTGCAATACCCTTCCGCTGTATCGCTCTGAACACCGGCCATAGATGGGAGCCATTCCGCACTGTCTAGTCGCTTTACGTCTCTCAATACGTACCTACAGTCAAAAGAGCAATAATTTAAGTGATTCCGGAGTGTTACGATTCGTCAAACTGTCAGTAGTATAGACTACTACAATTACCAGCCCACTGCCTTGAGAATCTACATTTATCGTGCGCCAATAGTTTTGGTCGGCAGTTGACAAGATAGTTGGCGGGAACAGCATACGCACAGCGAAGACGACTCAACTCCTAACGACTGGGTCCATATACCCCAGCTGACGACCTGGTTTAGGTGCTACCAACAATGTTTTTAAAATAGCCGTGACCCCGATTCGGTGATTTGCGTAATCTGCAAGCTAGATGAGGTTCAAGAGGTTTAGGATTCTGGAGACCATTTAAAATGTGAAGGCTCGTGGCTCTAACGAACAAAAATGAAGTCAATTACAAGGAGACGTGCCTGTCGCCCTGTCTCCATTGTAGCCGAGTGTCCCAAACACGCAACATGATGCCGTCCACCCGCAAAAAGAATCGCTGCAGAACGAAGAAGCCCGTTGGCATTACACGGACCTTCACGTTCAGTGTGGAAATCCCATTGTCGCCTAGTTCATCTTCAAAGAGGTTGAGGTCGCCGAAAAGCAGGATTGGCTGTCTGGAGCGAAGGAAGTCGTAGTCGAGGCCCTCGGAGGTCTGCTCGACGCGCCATTTACCTGTTAAATCAGCATCATCCGAGAGTGTTAGCGTTTACACGTAACACAACTCGTAATTGTATTAAAAAGTAAATTGAATATCGTAGAATTTAGGAAATGTCGTAAGGAGTACATTTTAGACTGTTGTGAATCGTGTTTATTCACAGCCCTTAATCCAGTCGCTCCACATCCGACACAGGGTTCCCCTTTTCGCAGCATGCCGCCAGCTGCGAGAATCCTCAACTCCCCTCTCATTCACACGGATACTTGGATTATCCTCACACCGAGGTCTTGATGTTAGCGCATGTATGACTCACAAATCCGAGGTATAAATACATACGCGCCAACCTCACACACGACACCAACGTGGTTGAGCTCTGAAGTAAACGGTTGTGTCCACGTCTTCTCGTATCTTTTTCTTCATCGTAGGTACCAGGGAAACGTAATCGGACCAGGGTTAATCCTGTGGCACCGGCGTGGTTCAAGACCACATGCTGGGCCCACAACAGAACCATCGAATTATGCGCAACTGATGCCCTACAATACATGCATGCTTTAGCCTGCGTTTCAGGACCATGGGAATACAAAGTCCGGTTTCTGAACAATGACAGTAATAAGCCACAATTCTATTAAGGTTATAATCAATACCCATAACTGACAAAATGTGCACTACGAACAAGTATGGTGTGGCACAAAAAGTAGAAGACTACCGTTTACTATTAGTGAGATGACATATTAAGGAAAATGTATACGAGGGATTTTTCACCTCATTACCAGTTAAGGTGCCGTTGTAGGGAGTTGAGAACGTCCAGTCAAATGGCTTGAAAATGGAATACTTCTGCAGGTGGGTTTCGCGCCATTCTTTAGCAGCCGGCACCTCAACGGAGACGGCCTTCTTATCTACTAATTTCAAGGCATCAAGGGCCAGAAACTCAATCTTAGCCTTCTCTTCATCGCTTTCTAAATGGAAACATAAATACAACAGCTCGACGTACTGCTGAGGGAAAGTGAAAGCGAATTCTTCGAAAATATCATTTCGGGAACATTCGGGAGGGCGACTTGGGACTCGAATTGCTGAAGGTTTTCGAATAAAAAAGCACCACGAGTACCTCTCGTTCATCGCCTAGAGAGTTCAGGATGTGACTCTCTGTAGTTGTAATCAGCCAGGGTTTGAGGATATGTGTCTGTTCTTTCATCTCTTCATTTAGTTCCTATCTACAAGGTGATGCGACAAGTCCTCATTGTAGCTCAAAATGATTTCATCGTTATTCATAATACCAAATTAAGAAAGACTAAATCAGGCTGTAATTTATCGAAACTTTGTCTGTTGACGTCGGACACAATGTCAATGCCACATTAGATATAGGATCATAAAACAGAGCGGTAGTATTACAAAATCAAATTAACATATCATTTGTTCCATAAGGGTAATGCTGACAATAAGCAATCCTCTAATAGTCGACTTAAGAGCAGGTGAAGGCAATTGTGTACGTTTAGTAATACAAGGAGAGTTCTAGGAGATGATGAATTCCAATAGTGTCGACTTGTGGTACACTGAGATTGCTGAAACTAGGCAATAACTTCATGGATTTAGAATATCAAAAACATACAAATGCTTACTAGAAACGCAAAAATGGATTGAGTAAGTTGAACAGTGGTTAAATGCTGTACACAACTAGGGAATTTCTGACTAGGTTAAAGAAAGATAGGACCATTAAAATAATAATGTGTGATAATACAAAGCAATGTGAACCTTATTTTAAGCCACATATGATGAGATATGATTTCGGACTACGGAGAGAACAGTGCGAACATAATCACAAGATCATAAAGTTAAAAAAATCAAAACCATAAAAATCAAGACAGTTGTGTGTAATGTAGCGTCGGATTAGGGCGCAGACATGTTGAACCACCTGGCCTCAGCCAATCCCGTGTCTCTCTGCGATCCAATGGCATGCGGGAAAGGAAGGCAGCCAACCAGAGAAAGACACGACTGAGGTTCAGTATATAAAGAGCGGCGTGGCCAGCGCGGTGGACACGGATGGAAGGCGCCTGACGTGTGGTTCTGGCTTGTGATTGGTCAATAGGGCCTGTTCTGTTGTTCCAGTGTTATTCATACTATTGCTCGGGTATTCTACATTGGTGGCAGCGGATGCGTTCCAATAACGCAAATCGAACCCCAGCCCTTTCTCTTCCATGGTCAATAGAGGCAAAGACCCTTAAATGCTAGTTGAAGTTGTCAAGACCGTCATTCGATGTCCCATATATTGGATCCATGGACATTGCCCGGGATTAGGACTACTGCGTCTGGAGAGGCATTGGCAACTCAGCGACGACGACTTGGACAGTGAAAGCCAGCTGGACTGCATCTGCGATGGACCTTCAGTGGATGATGAGTCTTTCCTGCAAGTCTACACGAGCAAAGTCTCTCGTCACCTATTCGCATGGGCCACTATCCTGCCAGATGTGGGGTGCGGGGAGTGTCGAACTGGATATTTTACCAACACTGGATATCA